CAAGGTAACTGGAGTCCAAGGGCAGCCTGGAAGCAGGAGCTCCTCTTGCTTCCCAAGCCTCAGTTGTTTTTTTCATAAAGAGTCAACTGTCTGAGCGAATTGCCCACATTATGAAGGGTAGGTCATGTACTTTATTGGAAGTCCATCAACTTAAATGATAAACACATCTTTATAATACCCCCACAGCAATATCTAGACTGAAATTTGAACAAAAATTGAATATCAAGTCAGAAAATAAAATTAATTAACTAAAAAACTCAGTTTTTTGTTTTGTTTTTTACAGGCTCATACTTCCCAGTAAAACCAGCAAGAAAACTTCCCAGCAACATTTCTAAGGACCACAGTTGGGAAGTCCAGTTAGAGACAGCGAAATAATGACCAAAAATCCTTGCTGGGCTTTGAAGAGTAACGGAAGAGGGTAATTTATCTGTCTTTAAATGTTGAACGGTTAATATTTTATCATGTAAGTCTTGAACATCAATACTCAAATTATCATATGATCATCTTTGCTTGGGGAACACTATTATTAGCAGTGGCCACATCAAAAAAGGATTATCATATGATCATCTTTGCTTGGGGAACACTATTATTAGCAGTGGCCGCATCAAAAAAGGTCAGGTTAACATGTCTCATCCGCCTCTTTTCCTCTTTTTCTTTATATCTAATTCAAACAAAAACATAACATGGACCCTTAGGACTCTTAGTTTAAAAGTAATCCTCTTCAAAAACAAAAACACTTCAAAAGGGAAGCCAGCCAGCACACTGGGATGCCTCACTCAGCACTGGGAAGGGAAGCCCTGGCCTTTTCTCACCTTCATTATTAGTTTTGGGCACTCTTGCTTGTTTTTGAGACAGATTATCACCTTGTAGCTCAGGTTGGCCTCAGACTTCCCACAGTCCTTTTGCCTCAGCCTCTCCAAAGAGCTTGTACAGTAGGTGTGAGCCACCACAGTCTATTCCCATACTGTTGTAAAGTCATAGTTTTTGCCAAGGAACAGCCTTTGACATCAGAACACACATTTTATTGCAGGAATTAGATCTCTCCACATTACCTTCCTCTGTTGCTAGGGGCTGAATTTAGGGGTCCCTCCATAACCAACTGTGCACTCTACCAGTGAGCTACACTGCCAGTCTCCCAGAAAGTAGAGAGACCAAAAGTTTCAAAGATTTTGCCTCATCAAAACTGAGAACTTCCCCCATTTGAATGTGATCTGTGCTCACCTTGCACTCTAAAGTGTCCCCACAGAGGGAAGAAAACCTTCCCTAAGAGTAGAAGCAAGGAGAGACAGCGGAAAAGGAGCAGTTGGTCCATATTGAGCACAAGACACTTTTAGAGCCTTCAGACTCTTAAACGAAATGGTTATATATATATAGTTTTCCACTTGTTGCCCCAGGTTCTAAGGATCAGATGTTTTACTCACTGGGAACAGAGAAAATCCTTCCATGTCTTCTCTCATCTCTAGGGCTTGATACAGAGTGTCTTGGCTAGGAGACCTGCACTGTGAGTTTGAAGGAATTAATTGTCTTGTGGAGGGTGAAAAAACTCCCCAACAACCTCAGAAAGACATGAAGCAAAGCAGAGAAAAGAAGTTTCCATGCTATCAGGAACTTCCCCTAATGCAGAGGTTTTAGAAGAGGAGGGAAATAGGAGTAGGAAAACCCACCCTCAGCCTCGTCACAGAGAGACACTAGATAGATAATATATATCTTCAGGTTCTAAGTTTTCTTCTCTTCTTGTGGTAGTTCTGCTTTTTAGTTGCCCTAATGCAGAGGTTTTAGAAGAGGAGGGAAATAGGAGTAGGAAAACCCTCTCTCAGCCTCGTCACACAGAGAGACACTAGATAATATATATCTTCAGGTTCTAAGTTTTCCTCTCTTCTTGTGGTAGTTCTGCCTTTTAGTTGTCTGCCTCCTAAGTGTTGGGATTAAAGGCGTGTGCCACCAATGCCCAGCTTATTTGTAATTTTGACTGTCATTTTTATCTATGACTGTTTTTATTTCTTTACAAGCTGAAAAGCATCACTAGGAATATTTTTGGTCCCCTTGATCTAATTCTCCCCGAGTTGCTCTTCCTAACTAGAACCAAGTTCTGGGATCCAGAGATCCCTCTCCAGGGAAAGAAGTCTGAAGCTACTAATGAACTCCAGGAATGTTATCAACTATTGGAATCTCAGTTTAACTCTTTCCTCCAGCAACTTTGTTGTTCCTTCAACCCTGCCTGCCTCATCTATTTACCTCCAATGAATGCTACTACCTTATGATACTGTGTACACACTATTCCCAGGGGTTCCTCTCCTTTAACTTTTTTTTTCCCTTTTTTCCCTTAAATCCCCATACTTCAGGTGCCTGTTCCTGGTGCCACCTTTAAGCGCCTGTGCTTACTTATCTGGCCAAGGTCATTGATATGGCTGTGAGGAATTAAATCAGGTCAGTTGGAGGGGCCACAGTGCAAATGAGGCTGTGACAATTTTATTGAGAGCAATCAGAGTTTTTATACCTTTATCAGAAGCAGAATATAATGCCAATTGCCAGGATAAATAGAGTTGTAGTTACCAGGACACAGTGAAGTTTGCAAGCCATACAAGGTACACAAGGTTAATGTCTAAGACCACTTGTGCTGTCAAGCTTCCATGCTTCCCTGACTACTAAGGGAACACACAGAGAAACACAGGGTATTCTGACCGCTTTACTGTCTCTCAGGAACTGGAAGACACACTGTGTCCCAGGAGCCATGGCCTGTCACCTGAAAAACCTATGACCCAGAGCATTCAAGGCAGCTAGGCCAGGCCAACTCCATGTCTCCTAGCAAAATAACTATACATGTTGGCATTCAGATTAGATCAAATCATCCTATTAAAAGGTATATTTTGAGGTTGAGGAGATGGCTCAGCAGATAAGGGCACTTGCTGCTTGAATGAAAGAAATAAAAAGGAAAGGAACATGACTGGTCCCAGGAATGGTGGAGGAGAAAGTTTATTATAGCTACATGCGAGAGCATAGCCTGAGGCAGGGACATCTGGGAGAGTTCAGATGGACATGACCAGACTGAGCTGGGCCATGTGGGGAGGAGGAGGAAGGAAGGAGAGGGGAAAGCAGGTGCAGCAGCCAAGAGACTCAAAAGTACAAAGACAGCAGGTAACCAAAATGGTTGGATTATATAGGGAAGAACAGCCTAGTCCCCTGGGCTAGAGTTCCTGGGGCGAGGGATACAAGCCGGGAGGACCCTGTTGTAACAGGTGGTGACTGAGGGATGCAGGGAGAACCTGGTGGCCAGGTCTGCTTTGATATCTCAAATAAGTACCTCAGCCATTTGTTCCAGGGTTTGAAACCTAACACTGCTGAGCCTGATGACACAGGATTGATCCTTAGGACCCACAAGGTGGAAGAAGAGACTGACTCTCCAAATTGTCCTCTGAATTCCACACATGTGCAGTAGTTCACTCATGCCTATATACATATATGTGCCCATACATTGAACAGATACATATATTTCAGTTAAAAGTTTTTAAAATTATTTTATGTGTATATGAATGTTTTGTCTGCATGTATGTCTGTGCACCATGTGAGTGCCTTGGAGGTCAACAGAGGTAACTGGATCTCCCAGGGCAGGAGTTACAGACAGAGGTGAGTCACAATATGGGTGCTGGGGATTGAACCCAGGTCCTCATATGGATAACAGCTGGGCCAATTCTCCAGCTCCAGGAAGTAGAAACATTTTAAAGATCTGCTTTGGCATGTTGACACTCAGCATGCTACCAGCTCTAATCCTAGGGGTGGGCAGAGAAGACATCATACTTTCCTCCAGTCTCTCCTCCCCACAGCTGCAGCTGGTGATCCAGAATCTGACTTCTGCAGCTTGTGTAGGAACATTAGTTCTACCTCATTTTTACAGAAGCCAAAATGTTTGAGTAAGGTTCATCATGAGATTCCGTGCGGTGTTTTAAGACATCTTGTTGTAAAAGTTATGCAAGAAAATAAATTTCACGTGACCCAGGTGACATGCCAACTAGAGCAATATTGATCATGGTAACAGTCCCACAAGGTCAGAATTAAGCTGACAAGCACCCTGAACTAGACTACAACAATTTCTGATTCACACTAGTTTAGGCGTTTACTGAATTGATCATTCTAGTCAAAATGTAGACCTTTACAAACAGTCTCCGTCACCGCAATGGAAGAAATAAGTGGCAATTCATAAAAAGAACACCAACGATACAAAAGAAGTAATAAGTACATTTATTACGCACAGAAGCAGTGACCCCACGGGCTTTTCCTCATTCAATCGTTCTGCTGCGTAGGTACAGATAACGATATCATTTACAGAGTGCCAGAGGGCTAAAACCTGTGAGTTCAGTTCCTGGACCTCACCAACAGCTGCCTTCCAGTCCAATTCATTTTATCTTCTGATTTGGCTAGGCCATGGCATCCAACTTTTGGCCAAATATGAGTGTCATTTGTAATGTTTTTCTAAATATAAGTTGACTGTCCATGAGGGCAAACCAGTTCAGCTGCTTGCTTATTTCGGTGGGAGTGTTTCTAATTATGCCTATCTCAGTTCACAAAGATAAAAAGAAAGAGAGAAAAGCAGATTAGGAAAGGAGGTGACAGAGTGGAGGTTTGACTCAGCGGCTGGGAGCTTGCCCAGCATGCAGAAGGACCTGGGCTCAATTCCCAGCGTGGGGCGAGGGTGGTGGGGGCGGGCGGCGTTCAAAGTTAGAATGTTTGTTTGGCACAGCCAAAACCTTGAAAAAAGTACGTCGTCCTAAAACCAGCTATTAAAGACTTGTTCATGCTCTCACAAATCTTGTTGACTGCTCTATCAACAGCGGTGTCGCCAAGTAACTAAGTCTCCCATGCTTTCTGTTTCTATTACAACACTCCGGGCGATCCCACACGCAGAAGAGACGCGCAGCGTTCCAGCACTGGACGAGTGCGTGTTTCCGCGACGCCGCGGTGCAGCTCGGGAGGCAGCCGGCGACCCAGCTCCGGAACCCCGCCTTCAGGGGTTCTCTGGGCGGAGCTCCCTGGTGTGATCCATGGTGTTGGAGGCTGGCGCCGACCGTCTTCCGCTCATCGCAGAGCAGGACCGGTGGGGACAGCAATGAGCTGGGAGTTGCTGCTCTGGCTGCTGGCACTGTGTGCGCTGATCCTGCCCCTGGTGCAGTTCCTGCGCTTCCTGCGGGCCGATGCCGACCTGACGTTGTTATGGGCCGAGTGGCAAGGGCGACGCCCAGGTGAGCACCCGCAATGGCCAGGGCTGCAAAAGAGAGACCAGCCCCTGTTGGCAGGCATCCCCTTCTCCGCCTAAAGTGAGCAGGGTAGAGGTCCCTCCCGGTAGGATGGAGCCTCTGTGGCCAAGCTAAGCCTTGCCCAAGGGCTGAGGACCCTGGAGGAAGAGACAGTGGCTATATAGGCAGTTCTCATTCTGTCGCTTGTCTTAGTTCAAGGATGGTACTGATGGGTCGCTCAGACTAGCAAAGAAAACGTCAAGCTCCAAGATTCAGGACACAGACTTCTTCAGTAGACTCCCAGGGATCCCGGGACACTATCAGAGAGGACACTGTGGGGAGCAGAGTGTGTCCCCTGCTTTGTAAGAGACTCAGTGTCTGTTCATCCCGAACATGTTTATCAGGTGCTTTTTACTCTTCCCCAAGCATTGGAAGAAAATGCTTGACTGGTCTGACTCACCCACTTTCCAGTTGCTATAAATGTCACAATAGAAAGCACTGAGCTGACATGTTGCCAGAAGAGAGATCATTCTGGGCACGCTAAGGTACATTTCATTTGCTGCATCTTGGTCTGCGCCTTGCTCCGTGTTTGATACTCGCTTAATACACGGTTCACATGCTTAGATATTATGTCAGTTCACAGGTGCTGTGTGTTGCATTAGTGTGCTCAAGTACTTCACCAACGGCCCCTGACCTTTGGAACAATTCTTATCACATGGGTATTATTATTTGTATTGTTTTTCAGTTAGAGGCTCTGACAGAGAAACTAAAAGCCTGCCCGAGGTAGGCTTTTGATCCTTCAAGGACTAAGTGGGATTCCATCATCCATGGTGACAAGTACACAGAGCATCTCAGTGTGCTTTGAAGTCGCTGGTCACTTTGAAGATAGTGCATTCAAAGTCTGCAGGGCAGGGTAGGTGAACACTGGTCTTGGAGACTAAAAGATAAAGAGAGGGTAGTATTTTACGCCCTTCCCAGACTCAGGCAGACATCCTTGCTGCATTTCTTTGGCTCCAACAGGTGCAGTATTGACAAACGAGACTGCACAGGGTGTTTGCAAATTCAGTGCTACAAAACTGGAAAAGACATGGCTGTGACCTGTAGACTGTATCCCAAATATTAGCTTTTGTTAACTGTAATTTTCTCTTTCCGGATCACTGTTAAGACAGATGGGATGCATGCCAATTCATTGCTGTTAGTTGCTTGTGGGTATTTTTTGTGTTTGAGCCTCTGTGCTTTTATTTAATTTGAAGAATGAATTAAAATTGGTTTGCAAATTATAGGATTGTATACAAATTATTAACACGTTAAATTATGTCTGAAATGTAAAATTGTTGACAGCATCCAAGTGCACGTGTGCAGTTAGCAAAAGTTGGTTTTTCATAGCAAGCAAGAGTTAAAAGCCACTAAAAGTAAGAGTTTGTTGACCCGTTTCTGAGACAGAGTCTCATGTAGTCCCCAACTGGCCTTGAACTCATTATGTAGCTGAGGATGGTCTCCTGTCTCCACTTCCCAAGTACAGGTATTCCAGGCAGGCAGCTCTATGCCTGGCAAGAATAAGTACTGTTCTTGGGGAATGGTGAAGGGGCTTGAGACAGGGTCTCTACATAACTCTGGCTGTCCTGGAACTCACTGTGCAGTCCAGGCTGGACTAGAACTCACAAAGGTCCGCCTGCCTCTACCTCCCAAGTGCTGGGATTAAAGGCATGTGCCACCACACACATCTCTTATTCATGCAGATTCTTTGGTTAATTGTGCCTTTCCCCAAAAGCATCTTGCCTGAAAGGAAATCTTTGTTTACATAGTTTGGTTCTTTACAGGACATGTTACTTGTGTTCAAAGGTCTATGAAACAGTTGGGTTTTGAAATACTGTCTCTTGTTAGGGCTTTGACTGTAGTTGGATGATAGTACATATGTCTATAATGTTTGCAGGCTGGGTTAGTCCTCAACAGTGCAGAAATGTATAGACCATATCTGATTGTGTACACCATAGGATTGCAGACAGTGGGGGTTGTTTCTGCCAGGGTTCTTGTTTGTTTATTCACTTATTTGTGAATAAACTCCTGTAAAACTCCTTTTGATGTTCCAGTCTCTGCAAGGTGTTAGGCCACTACTGTGAAGAAGGAAGACAGGGTCCCAGCCTCAATGGATTTAATGGACTAGTGGGGGGTAACTCACTCCATTTCCTGAAGAACTCAAACTCCATGAAGTTCTTGTGAGGGTTTTAATATAGAATTGTGTTAAGCTCATAGACAAGAATGAAATAAGGGCAGCCTAGATACCCTTATTACTCCCTGTCATGGAGCAAACTAGAGTCCACAAGAGATCAGCATGAGGTCTGGTGAGTGTAACAGGCCCCCAGACCTTAGCACAACTGACTCCATGATGGAAGTACCATTCAGTCTGTAAAACTCAGCATGCAGACAGAACTACCTGCCAAAAATACAAACAGAGAACTAATCCATCAAAGTCCCTAGTCTGGGAAAGTCTCTTAAATGTACTTATCTTGCTTTTTGGCTTCTGTAATTCTGCTGCTGGCTAACTGTTCTTGTTGAGTGAAGGGTGTCAACCCAGGACATGTTTTTTTTTGTGCTTAAAGGCTCACCCTGTGAAAGGTGAGGTGCTACAGTGGGATCCTGAATACCAAGTGTAGTCTCCAGCCAGCTATTGGTTTAAAGCCATGTCTGATCGGTCTTCTCCGGTGGATATCCCACAACAGCTAAAGCTGCTTGCTGCATAAACTTGATGACCAGAGTTCCATCCTGAAAGCCACAAAAAGGTGGAGGAAAAGACCTGGCTTCTAAAATTGTCCCCTGACCACCAACATGCACACAAGGCTCGTGTGCTCTGCCATGCATGCGCACACACAGTAATAATGATGATAGAATTTTAAAAAGTTAAATCCAGGAAGAGGACTGGGGCAAGGTATTCACTGCTGTGACCCTGGCACTTCCAATGTGGAGGCAGGAGGATGAAATATGTGTTTCAGGCAAACATAGCAAGCTACTGTCCAAACAACAACAGCAACAGCAAAAATCCAAGATGATTATATCATACTATTGAGCAACATATAGTATTTTCAAAGGCCTCATCTGTGGTTTCTCTTCAGAAATTAGAATTATAAAACTAAAAAGTGGGTGGGAACTTTAGAATCATTTATCTGCGTCTGCCATTTAATAGAGAAAGCAATGAGTTTCCAGTCACCTAGCTTTCATTTTCTTTGTCAAATAAGTAGATAAATTGAGACTTAGAGTGAGACTGTGTAGTTATGAGGCTTAGCTACAAATAGATTGTAGTAAATTCACCCAGATTCCAAAATATTCACCATGCCATATGGATGACTTATTAATAACATGGTTTGTATTCACAATTTTTTAAGAAAACTCTGGTAAAATACACTTTCTTAGAATGCTTGAATTCTATTTACTTATTTTGTTTGTTTGTTTGAGACAAGGTCTCTGTATATTAAGCTGGCTCCAACAAACTGTGTAGCCACATAAGTATGGCCTTGAACTTCTTACCCTCTTGATTCTACCTTCAAAGTTCTGGGAGTGCAGACATATACCATCATTCCTGGCTTTTGGAGGTACTAGAGACTGTTCCCAGACTTTGTGTACTCTAGGCAAGAATTCCCACAGCTGAGTCAATCCCTCAGCCAGGACACTTGAAATTTTATGCTGCACATATTAGACCTTCATATTTAGTAGTGGTATGTTTAAAAGTGTATTTATTTCATTCATGTTTTAATACTCTTTGGTATATGGGTGTCGTTTATCACATACTGGCTCCCCTGTAACTCTCCTCCTTCCTCCACAGAATGGGAGCTGACTGACATGGTGGTGTGGGTGACTGGAGCATCCAGTGGCATTGGCGAGGAGCTGGCTCTCCAGTTATCTAAACTTGGAGTCTCTCTGGTACTGTCAGCCCGAAGGGTGCAGGAGCTGGAGCGGGTGAAGAGAAGGTGCCTGGGTGAGTCAACTCCCAACCACAGCTGTGCTTCCCGGAAGTGAGAATCCAAACTCAAGTGCAGCTTTGGGAAGTGAGGGAAGGCGGGACTGTCCTGCAGAGTTCACACTGGCTCCAGAGCTTCCTGTGCACTGCCCAGCTTCCTCTTCTGTTACCTCTTTGCTTCTTTTCTGCCATCCTCCCACTGTTGTTTTTATACAAGCTCTCAAGTGCCGGTGGACTTTAATGATCAAGTGACCTGTATCTTTGCTTTAGGAGAAGGGGCTCTTACCCGAAGCATTCCTGTGTATAACTAATGTAATGCAGTTAGGAATGTTTTGAAGCGGATCTCTGTGAGTTCGAGACCAGTCTGGTCTACAAGAGCTAGTTCCAGGACAGCCTCCAAAGCCACAGAGAAACCCTGTCTCAAAAAACAAAACAAACAAAAAAAGTCCGACGTCTCTTCTGAGATTCATACAACTTCTTAACTGTAAAAATTGAAATAAAAAAGCAGGTCACATTCTTCCGTGTATGTGCATGTGTGTGTGTGTGTGTGAGTGCCTCTGTGTGGTTTTAAATGTTCGTGTGGTTATGTGTGTGCGTGCCTCTGTGTGTGTGTACCTCTGTGTGTTTCTGTTTGTTTGTGTAATTGTGTGTACCTCTGTGAAATACTGGACCAAAGCAAGACTGAAAACCAGCTGAGCAAACTCCAAACTGTACATCTCCATGTCTAATGTCAAAATGGTCTTCAGATCTCCAACACCTTTCAGCTTTGTTGACTGCAACACAATTCTCTTTCTCTTAGACTGGTTCCACTCCCTGTTAGCAGCTTTTCCTCAGCAAGTATCCCATGACTCTGGCATCTCTAACATCTTCAGTTCTCCAAGACAATCCAGGCTTCAACTTCACGGCCTCATGCAATGGCCTCTCTATGCCTCCATTGAGGACACCTCTGACACATGCCTGACCTCAGTGGCTTTCCTTAGTCACAGAGGCAAATTCCATAGCTCCTTTCTTCAGTTCTTAACTCTCAAGCCAGAACCACGTGGTGGAAGCTGCCAAGTTCTGCTGCTTACTGGGGCTGGAACATGACCCCCTTGTTTAATTACATCTTTATCAGCTTTCTGTCTTTGGCTGCCTAAGCTTGGCTGTCCTGAAACTTGCTCTGCAGACCAGGTTGGCCTCGAACTCAGAGACCACCAGCCTCTGCCTTCCCAGAGCTGTGACTAAAGGTGTGTCCCACTAGACCCAGCTCTAAGCTTTTCTCTAGTTCTTTTTCACAAGTTAGAAACTTAGCTGTGTGGGATCTTGCCCTGAGGTCACCACTTCCTAAATTCCACTTCTTAATCCGTTTATCTCCTTGAACACAGGACTTAGCTTCATTGCACTTCCTGGTGTGTGCGTGTTTTTTTTTCTTTACAAAATGTACATTTTGTGATTTACCCTGCTCAGCTTGCTCTTTTAAATTATAAATCTTTATAAGCATGAACACTAGTAACCAAACAGCAGAGTCTATATTAGGCCGTTTTGAAATTTCTTCTGTTAAGGGAGTTAATCCAAAATTCTTCACGTTAGCCTCAGGCAGTTTCGTTGGACAAGGGTAAAAGGCAGGTACTTTCTTCACCAAGATATCATAAGAATAATCTCTAGGCAACATACTAAAATTCTTCTCCTCTGAAACTTCTTGATTGAGTCCCCGACAGTTCAAATAACTCTTAACACCTCTGTCTTCCATGCTTCTACTAATATGAATAATTAAGCAGTGCTTAAAGCATTCCATTGCTTACCTAATGCAAAGTTACCAAAGTCTGTATTACTCCAAACAAAAACATGGTCAGGCCTATCACAGCAATACCCCAGTCCCTGGTACCAACTTCTGTCTTAGTTAGGGTTTCTATTGCTGTGAAGAGACACCATGACCATGGCAACTCTTAGGAAGAAAACATTTAATTGGGGTGGCTCACTTATAGTTTCAGAGGTTCAGTCCATTATCATCATGGCAGGGAGCGTGTCGGCGTGCAGGCAGATGTGGTCCTGCAATAGTAGCTGAGAGTGCTATGACTTGCAGGCAACAGGAAATTGACTGAGACACTGGGTGGTATCCTGAGCATAGGAAACCTCGAAGCCCCACCCACAGTGACACACTTACTCCAACAAGGCCATACTTATTCCAACAAAGCCACACCTCTGAATAGTGCCACTCCCTGTTTTATTATGGGGGGCCAATTACATTCAAACTACCATAGTCCCAGTATGTTTTTAGGTAGGAATTGTATGAAGGACTTTGTGCTTTTCCTTATTTACCTCTTGGAATCCTTGACCTAGGGAGTGAAGGTTCTACTTATCATCCCTAACCTTCTCAGCTTCTCATAGATTTATAGGATGAGAGTAAAGGAAAAGATTTAGTTTTCAGTTATGTGTATATGTGTGAGTCTATACATGTGAGTATAGGTGCTCTCGCCAGAGGTGCTGGCTCTCCCTGGAGTTTGATTATAGATGGTTGTGACATGGGTGCTAGGAATTGAAGTTGTGTGTTCTGCCAATGCAGTACAAGCTCTTACCCACCAAGCAATCTCACCAGCCCTAAACTGGTGTTTTAAACAATCAACTGAACTGGGCCAGTCTATTGCAAAAAGAAAAATAACTCTATACTCATTAAAAAAAAAAAAAAGCTGTTGTATAATTTTTCATCCTTTTTTTCGGGTGGAGCTATTGTTTCTCTTTGATGTGCAGCCTATGCTGGCTTCAAGATCCCAGTCTGCCTGGCTCCACTCTCAGAGTGCACTGCAGTTGTGGACCACTATGTGTGATTGGTTGAGTTTCCTCTAATAGTATAGTATTTGTTTTGTTTTGTTTTTTGAGACAAGGTCTTGTCATATAGCCTTTGCTTATCTGAAACTTGTGATGTAGAACCAGAACGAACCCAAGATTCTGCAGTCCTCCCTCCACCTTCCAGTGCTGGGACTAGAGCTGTGTCGTCATATCTGTCTTGTTCTTTGCAAAGTTCTTCTGCATATAGTCAAGGGAAATCATGTTGTTCTGGCCAGCCAGCCAGAGTGCTGGTCTGAGATCATTGCATAACATCATCTTGTCAGGGACGCTTTGGCAGAGTTACCTAGAATAAATTCATTGCTGCCTTTTTGTAGGGTAGAGGTTAAATTGAACTTGGAATGGCTTGCTTATTGTTCATGTTTCTTTTTCAGAGACTGGCAATTTAAAAGAAAAAGATATACTGGTTTTGCCCCTTGACCTGACCGACACAGATTCCCATGAGGCAGCTACCAAAGCCGTTCTGCAGGAGTTTGGTAAAGTAAGTTGCATTTTGTATCAAAGAAGCATGGATGGCATAGCTTATCTGTCTTTGAAAAAAAAAAAAAAAAAAAAAGCTGCCAAAGAAATTTCAACTGTGGATCCCCTTCAATGGGAAGGAGACAGATGGAGCACATGCAGTGAGGTCGGTTCAGGACTTAGCTTCTTAATCATTGGCTGTTTGCCTTCAGCTCGTTGGTGCTTTTCATCCCTTCCCAAGCACTAATTTCTCCATGAAGAATGATAGGAGTTGACATCTACCGATGCTTTTCTTTTTTTCTGATGCTTGTTACTTTACTTCAAATGGAAATTCTCCAAGTGAATTCTGCCTCTTCCTTACTTCTCCTTCTTTCCTTCCTTCCTTGTTCTTTCACCCCTCCCCATTTGAGACAAGCGTGATGTAACTCCATTCAGGAACTCACTATGTAGACCAGGCTGGCCTTGAACACAGAGGTCTGCCTGCTTCTGCCTCACAAGTGCTATCACCACACCTGGCTTTGCTTATTTTAGTTTTTTAGCTGCTACCAGAACCACATCACTGTCTCTTTTACTCTTCAAGTTAACAATACAAGCAATCATTTTCTTAGACTATCTTTAAGTGCTCGTTTTCTGATTTTTAGATTGACATTTTGGTCAACAATGGTGGAAGATCCCAGCGTTCCTTAGTTCTAGAAACCAACCTGGATGTCTTCAAGGAGCTGATAAATTTGAACTACTTAGGGACGGTGTCCTTGACCAAGTGCGTTCTGCCTCACATGGTAGAGAGGAAACAAGGGAAGATTGTTACTGTGAACAGCGCTGCGGGGATTGCATCTGTGGCCCTTTCCAGTGGGTACTGTGCCAGCAAACATGCTCTCCGGGTAAGGCAACCCAAACTCAACTGAAAAAACTGACCTCTGTGTGTTGGGAGGAGCATAAGATGTTCTGTGGCTTTGCTGATTGGAACTGGACCTTAAGTGTGAGATGGAAACAAGAGAACTTGACATTTCCCCTTAGATAGATTCCCTGCAACTGGACTTACAGGTAGCTCTAAGCTGCCACATAGGTGCTGGGAACCAGTCCTACAAAAGCCACAAGTGCTCTTAACCGCTAAGCTATCCCAACCTCTCTGAGAGTGAACTTTTAATCGTTGTGTGTATACTATATGCCAGAAGAGGAGTCAGTGTCTGTGCTGGCTGCTTGGTCCACTGTGTCTTGCTACAGAAGGGAAAATATTAAGGGTACAAGCGTTCTTTATTCCTTTAGCAAGCATTTAGTCTTGGACCCTCTCTGAAGTAGGCATTGTGTGAGTGTTGTATGACACCGTTTCTGAGAAGACACAAACAACATCTGCTCATCCCAGATAAAGATGACAGACCAAAGTATGGACACTATCGAAGTCCAACTTGATGAACCAATGAGTTTTAGAGGAATTGCTTACGGGAATATGGGCGAGGGGTTACTGACAGGAGCAGATATGACTCAAAGACAGCTGCATCACCAAAGTCCACCACAGCATGGTGACAGCTCACAAAAGCTGGGACCTTGGAGCACACTGCATAACCTGTTGGAGAGGTTGGCAGGTTGGAGAGTGTTCTCTCCAGGAAGCTCAGTTGGTCTAAACGTTTCCTAGACAGCTTGGTTTGTCTCTGTTTCTTCCAGCCAGCTCGGCTTGTCTGAGAGTGACTCTCAACAGTCCTGACAGCTTATATATGTGTAGGGTGGGAGGGGCCTAGTGAATCAGTCAATTTCAGGGACTTCCTGGAGCTATTTTGAATTGTTTACTTTCTGAATTAAGGAACTTTGCTGCAGGATGGGATGATTCATTTCCCCCTTAGAACATGCTGTTTTTCCTCCTTTCAAATGTTCCGATTCTGAAGGGGTTTCCCTCCAAAAACGGAAGGTTTTAATCCCACAGGAAACTCCTATACAGCCAGGCTGTCAGTAGGAACCCCCATCACTTCGGTGCTTGTTAGGAGTCAGTACTTAAGAGTGGACAAATATTTAATGTTAGATTGTATTGCATGTGCTCAAAGATGATCCGTAGTCCGTAAGGCTAAGATTTCTTTATTTAGATAAACATCAGCCCAAACACAAGCCAGAGCGTGCCCAGAGGCCGAAAGCTAGTGTGGCCAGGAAGAAGGGGCATCCACATGTTCGTGGCCTCTTAAGAATTCTCTCTGCATCATCTTCGACCTCCCCTGACCACGCCCTCACGGATGTGGCCAGGCACACCTTTAGGGGCTACTAGGAGGCAGGGCTACAGTGTCTTCCTACAATTCCCCTTTTAGTCTAAAAGAGGACTAAAACTTAATAGTGCAAAAGATCCAAAATTAACAATCATAAAGGTGAAATACAAGAAGATACAATAATCTGCTATTGCACATCCTAACTATGTCTATTCCGGCTAAGCCCTAAAGTCATGTGGAAAGGGTGTCCAGCTTGAGCACCTCCTTCCAATCCCAACTCTAAACCATAAGAAAGTTATTTCTAACTAGGCTTACACTACCCTAATAAACAATAATGAGGAATGGGGGTGTAGCATCTTCTAAGTTATTTCCTGCTGAAACAGGACGATAGTAGCATTGTGGGGTCCTGTGGGAAAAAAAATGTTAGTATAGGGAAAGTCTCTCATGGGTTATCTCCAGTCCATGTTAGATGGGATTTGCTTGATTGAAGATCTAGGTTGAAATCCTTAACTTGATTGAAGTCAGTACTCGAAGCTGTGGTCGGAGTGTCAGTTGAAACGGAGTAAGTGTAGTTGGATCCAGTGTAGTTGAAGAGGTATGGCCCAATTCCTTTTCCTGAGCAACCAGGGATTGTAGTCAGGCCTTTTCTGTGGATAAAAGCTGCAAACCGGCAGCCGAGCACAGAGCTAGGCGGGCGTACGGTTTTTCCGCCAGCAGCTAGGCAGATGCCAGGTAGCTATGGCGCAAATTGCAAAGTGCTGCCAGGAGTAGCAAAACCCGCAGATAGGCCCGCAGAAGATTTAAACAGTCCAGGGCCGGGTGGGAGTTCGGGGAAGGGGAGCGGTGGCTCCGGAAGGGGCGGGAAGGGAGAGCGAGGCAGTAGGGGTAACTCACTGCTTAGCGGCCGTGCGTTTTCCTGCAGTGAATGGAGATACTGTGGCGGGAGCTCCCCGCAGCTTCTGGGCTGGAAAGCAGAGGCCCAAGATGCTGCGGGCACTCAGGGGCAATGTA